ATCTCAACTTAAACAGTTTGTTAGTCTTAAAAAAATAATCATAAAAGTTGTACATTTTGCTTTTAGAAACTGAAAATTCCACTACTCTCTATAAGAAAAAAAAAACAACAAAAACTAATCATTCCAGGTCATTCTAGTATTTTCTATTTGTAGTAATTTTTAACAAAATGGAAACGATAACCACATATACTATTTAGTCTGAGATTTTCCACTTATCAAGATGTCATTTGCATTCTTGGACATTATAATTTTTAATGACTATATTACATTTCATATTATTAAATATACCATGTTTGATTTAGCTAACCTGGAAATATTGGGGGTTGTGAAATTTTGCTCTTAGAAATAATGGCATCATGAACTCTTTTCACTGTAAATCTTGGCTGCAGCTCTTGTACTATTTTAGGATTAATTCTTCAGAATAAAATTTATGGGAAATGAGGTATGATATTTTTAGGGCCTTCTGTTTTGTTTTGTTTTTTGATGTTGTTTGGTATTTTGCCTTCTAGAAAGAAAGCACAAAATTATGTTGCCTACAACAATTTATGAAGTTGCCTGTTTCCCTCTTTATCCACTAACTTGGTATATTGGTTTTTATTCTTTGTCTGGGAGGTGACAAATATTATTTGACATCACTTATAGGTCAGAAAATTTATATTTGTCATCATCCAACAATCTTTCCAGAAACCAAATCCCACATTTTAAGCCTGGGCTCCTAAACCTTATGAATGTCTAGAACTCCAAAGTGGCCCTAATTACATCATTCTACCACCAGGCGCTTTTGCCCATCAGGTGTTCCTGGCCTCAGAGCTAGTGCTTCCCCATTCTCTCCACTGAAAACTTCTGTTGTTTCAGAACTTTTTGTCTCAGGGAGGTTTTCCCCTAATTTCTGAATAATTAATAGCACTTAAACCTTTACCATTAAAAAGAGAATTATTAGAAACTAAACCTTGAAGAACTTCTAGTGCTGTTATTTTGTATATATTTTATATCTATATCTATATCTATCTATCTATATATCTATATCCATATCTATATCTATGTATATCTATGTATATCTATCTATCATCTATCTATCTGTCTTTCTATCGTCTATCTATCTATCTATAGCTATTAACAGAATGAAGTGGGAAGGAGGACCCAAGCAGAAAGCAGATTTTTAGAAGGAAATATGTCATTTTGCTTGCCTTGGAATTTGTTCCCAGCTCAGCTCCTCTAAAACCAGCCTTGTTTTTCCCAGCTTCTTTTCTTCCTCTTTGGAAACCTCAAATGGTGTACTTCTTAACCCAGGCTGCACAAGGGACTCTCTGGGGATCTTTGAAACTTCCAAGGTCTGGGGCTACCCTGAAGCCTGCCTTAATTAACCTGGTGTGGGGCCCAGGGACTTGTCTTTTCAGAAGCTCCCCGGGTGCACCCTTTGTGTGGTCAGCATCAGGAACTACTGCCCTAATAATTTTCTTCAGAAGAGTGAAGATTTCACACGGGTTCCCCCTTCAGGGACTCAGGACCATGGAGGAAAAGGCAAAAAAGATCAAACCAAAAGGAAAAGCAGACCAGAAAAGAAAAAGAAAGAAAAAAAAAGAAAGAAAAGAAAAAAGGAAAAAGAAAACCAAGCAAACTCTCATTAATAACAATGTTAAAGAGAGCGACTGGATAGTGAGGTGGAAAGGGGAGGGGACCCAGAACCAGAACACAAAGTCCAGTGCTCTGGCCCTGCCACTCACATGGATCAGACTTCTTCCTTTAGGCCACTTTCATCTGTAAAAGGAGGAGAGGATCTATCTCTGATTAGGTGCAACTCTCCCCTTGGCCTCTGTTTCCTTCTTTACTTTAGCCCTGATGCTTAGCAGGGCGCTGGGCCCTTAGGGGCTATTTTTTAAATCCTCTAAGTTGAATTAGTTACTGACTCCTTTTCACACAGTCTATAGTTTGTCTGCAGATGCAGTCTCCTATATTATGCAAATACATTTCAATCAGGATGCAAATGAGAGTAAAAAGAAGTAAAGACCCACAGCTGGCTATGCCCCCGAAATGCCCCTGCCAGAAGTCAAATGTTCGTCACCAGGAAACACCTGACAGAGCCTCTACCTCATTAGCAGAGTCCCTGTGGTTAGGACCAAAACTCTGGCTTTTGGGAGGAAGTAAGGCCGCCAGGTTGAGCAGCCCCTGGGTTCACCCCAAGCAGATGTTCAGGGCTGCAGCAAAGACTGCTAGGGAGATGGCTGGAAATGCAGGAGGGTCCCTTACATCTGGCCTGTTGTGAGCAGATGGGGCACAGCTGCCCTGGTGCAACGCAGTTGGGCCCCAGCCTGGTGCTGTGCTTCTCCCTGGGCAGCTTCTCCAACCACCTGAGGGCTCAGGGGCATAAGCTCTTCAACTGTTCTGAGAAGCCCGGCAGACCTCGGCTTTGATTTTCAGTGCTTGCTTCCCGGCTGGTTTCTTAGGGACTGCTCCAGTAGGCTCTACTAAATCTGATCCCTTTTACCTCCAGGAATAGTTCTTAATCCATCTTGCTCTGCATTTGCACTGCTGCTACTTTGGCTGAAACTCTCATCATTCTGTCTCCTGGGGCCAGTGCTAGCAGGAGACGCCATCAGTTCTGCTTCCAGCCTTGATTCCTCCCAGCTGTCCTCTGCCACCGGAGTCCTTGGATATGTACCTCCTGCCAGATCGTTCCCATGCTAAGGACCCCTCATGGACTCCCATTGTTCTAAAGCAGTGATTTTCATTTCTACCCATATATTAGAATCACCCAGGGAGCTTTTAAAAAATTCAGATGCCTAGGGTCCCATCCCTCCCCAAAGGTTCTGATGGAATTGGATTGAATAAAGCACTCTCCAGAATCATTTATCCAAAGAAATTATGGAAACTCATTTCTTTGTTTGGCATTCCAGGCCCCTGGGTGATTGGATCCTCTCTCACTTGTCCTCCTATTGTTCCCTCCTGCTTCTCATTCCAGACCTTTGCTTTTTTGTACAGTCTCTCTGTCTCCTGGACTCTTGCTGTATGAGTAGAGAGCTCTTGTGCATTTTTCAGAACTTCCCTGAACTGTCACCATCTCTGCTGTGAAGCCTTTTTGGGATCCTCACATGCCATTACTTAGGCTTTCTTTCTTCTCTGCTCCCATATTACTGCACCACCCAAAATAGCAAGTGTTGTTTTTTGCTTGCTTCTTTGTTTATCCCACTACCCTGAACTCAAAGGACAGTATTCCAATCCTTATTGTATACATCTCTTCCATTATCAAGAGACTATAGACACCATCTGATGTTTCTCTCCACACTTCCAGATGGGAGGGACCATTTTGCAGTTGCTGTTCTGTTCACTTGTTTTAGCTAACATCATTGTCTACTTATGATGTGACATGAACTATTCTGCATGCCCTACTGTATTAACTACTGTATAATTTTCACAAGAGTGTATAAGTACAATCATTTTCCCCATTTTGCCGGGAAGAAAACTGAGGCAATAAGAATAGGAAGGCCACTCAACACATAGCAGGGCACAATAGATGTCTATTGAGTGAAAACATGTGTGTCAATGTGCTTTTCTCACAGACACATCTTTGGGACTGGACTAGTAAATAAGACTGCGTTTCCTTCAGCAAGGGCTTGGCACCTGACAGTCTGAATAGATATACACTTTGTAGAAGGAAATAGTCCCAATCTTCATGACAAATTCCCAGATCAGCTTTCTCAATCAGATAGGCCAGCAGGGTAGTACACACCAAAGACATCTGGGGCACAAGAACAAGGGAGGAATTAACTTGTAATAAATACCTACTATAGGGGTGCCTGGGTGGCTCAGTTGGCTAAGCGCCAGACTCTTGGGTTTGGCTCAGGTTGTGATCTCAGGGTCGTGGGATCAGAGCCTTGCTTTGGGCTCCGTGCTTAGTGAGGAGTCTGCTTCAGATTCTTTCTCCCTCTCTGCCCCTCTACTCTCTCTCTCTCTCAATAAATAAATAAATAAATAAACAAACAAACAAATAAATAAATAAAAAATAAATAAATAAAATTAAAAAACAACAACAGCAACAAAACACCTACTATGCCTGTAACTGTCCTAGGAACTTCCCTGCCTGATCTCAATTGATCCTTTTAACGATCACAGAGTAGGAATGATGATCTTTGAAGATGATAAAGCCAGAGTTCAAGGAAGGTACATAACTCAGTCAGTGTCACCTAATCAGTTAAAGAAAAATGTTGGGATTGAACTGGTCTGTTACTTCTCTCAGATGAGAGGCTGTCTCTGACTGGCACGTCATTAGAATTTAGCATTCTTCATCTACTTTTGCCTTTAAGAACAGTTTATTTTTTCCTAAAAAATGCAGATAAGGCATTTGTGGAAAACTGTAAGAAAACTAAAGTCGCGGGGCACCTGGGTGGCTCCGTCGTTAAGCATCTGCCTTCGGCTTGGGTCATGATCCCAGGGTCCTAGGATCGAGCCCTGCATTGGGCTCCCTGCTCAGCGGGAAGCCTGCTTCTGCCTCTCCCACTCCCCCTGCTTGTGTTCCTGCTCTCACTGTATCTCTCTGTGTCAAATAAATAAATAAAATCTTAAAAAAAAAAAAAGAAAAGAAAACTAAAGTCGCCTGTAATCCCACCACCCAGAGATGAAATCACCAGGGATATTTTGAAGTTTTTTTGTTTTTGTTTTGTTTTGTCTTGTTTTGTTTTTTCCTTTCAACATTTTACTCCGCATTTATATCAAGAGGTCAATTCACATGGCCAAAACCTTTGGTTGTAGTATACAGACAAATTTGTGTTTTCCCTTTTGTTTTGAAAACAAACGTTTCAGACATGGTTCAGACCCTTTGAAAATAATAGAATTAAAATGGTAAACAGAGGAAGAAAGGTAAAGTTTGTTTGTGGAAATGTGGGGCTTATGGTTTAAGCACAAGGATGCACGGGGAGCGCAGCAGGTGAGGAGGATAAGCCCTACTTGCTCCAGACCTCCCCACTCAATCATCCCTATGCTTGCCTTTCCTGTTTCTTTTGCAGGCAGCAGTTTGAATGATGGCTTGTGGCATTCAGTTAGCATCAACGCCAGAAGGGACCGCATCACTCTCTCTCTGGATAATGATGCAGCATTCCCAGCCCAGGACACCACCCGCGTGCAGATTTATTCTGGAAATAGCTACTACTTTGGAGGTAAATTCCCCCTTTTGAAAATAAAGGAGGGAGGGAGAATGCAGTGAACAATTATTTCACCCTGATGATTCGATTCTTCTTTGTCAATTAGACCATTCACACGCACACACACATGCACACACACACACAACCACGGGTACCCACTCCCAAGCACAAATGAGAAGAAAACTCTCTGACAGCTGTGCAGATATGAACTATGTAGGTCAGTACAGAGGAAAAAAAAGGAAAAAAAATAGTTATAAGAGCTGGTGTTACATAACATGTCCAAAGGAGATTTTTGTAGCCATGCCAAGCTCTGTGATCACATTGGGAAGGAGAAAGTCAGCTGAAAACTTGGAGAATACGCACCAACAGTCAGCAGTACGTGCAAAAGGAAAAATCCAGGTGGGAAGGCACAACCAGCACGCTCCGCTTCTAGGCTATTCCTTTGCCACTTTACTGTCTGAATCCCCTATCTGTTTCTTCCTTCCCGACATCCTTGTAGGCCATGTCAGGGGAGTGGGCCTCTAAACATGGGGAGGGTCTAGAAGGCCCATTAACTTGTAGCTCCAAGTGAGGCAGACAACTCAGATCCAGCTCTCTCCATTGCCAGGTGAATCCTAGGGACCTTCCTAATGACGAAAACATGGGGCAAACTGGAAAGGATGAAAAATATATGATTAGGAATTCACTATATTTTTATGGATGATGTGCATTTGTATTTAGTTTTTTCAAGGCATTTCTTTCATTAAAATATTAGTATCTAATTTCCTAGTCACCTGTTGGTATTAGAGAAATAGTCTCTGAGAGTACACTCCATCACTGACCTTGAGCAAGACACTGATGGTCCCTGAACTTCCTTATCTCGGACATGGGGAAGCAGAGCCAAAGAGCTGGAAAACTTCAATAAGGTCAGAGTTTAAGTGTATAGTCCAGTGCTTCCAACAGGGCAAGGAATGGACAAACTGGGCTTCAACTTTTATAAATATGGGAATGGACTAGACCTGTTCTCAGGTTGCTAATTCTTTTTCCATTAAGAAACTGAAGGGAAGCATCATATAAAATTATAAAGTGCAGTCTGTCAAATAGAATTTACAAATACTTCTCTCATGTCATGGCATGTGGTTAGGCTTTGAAATACAAAATGGTCTTGGCGCAGATTTAGCATACATATCGGGGCATCCTGGAAGAGATGCAGCGTAGAGCAGTATTTTTGTGGTTTGATTTTAAGGCCCCAGGAAGGGCCTCTGTCTTTCATTCTAAATCTTCCCCTTGTATGCAAGGACAGTGGATTCCTCCAAGAAGGGAGAACTTCCATTCGCTCTAAATGGTTTAGGGATCTTACCTCATTTAATTCATGGGGTAACTTTGTGAGGTAGGCAATCTTAGCCCCATTTCACAGATAATAAGACTGGTGTTTGCTGAGATGAAGTCACTTGTATAAATATTAGGACCAGGATACACCTCCAAGTCTGTGTTCTCCACAACCCACTAGGTTGGGACAGCAAAGGGATGCTAGCGAATGTAGCATAAAGTCTGCAGAAGAAGGTTCTCGGGGGCCCCAAAGGTACATTTCACAGACGGCATGATTTTTGCACCACATGAAATGTTTCACCAACAAAGAGAGAGAAGCATTCTTGTACTTATTTCTGGGGATAACGATGTTCAATAATGATGGCATCCAAAATGCCTCAAAGGGGAAATGTCTGCCTTCCCCAAGTTTAGGGGGCACTGGGTTTATAAAGTGAAGATTTATCTGTGATTTAAACAGTATTTAAAGAAGTGCCCCACACGTCGACTGTAAACTTAAGGGAGGTGAAAAATGAGTTTGAGTAATAATAGTCAACTTACATAAATTCTCTCTACAGCTTCAATTAGAACTTGTAGCATCTCTCTTCATTTTATAGTGTGCCTGTGAGCTGTTAACCAGCTGCTGGGCTTCAGCCCAGCAGTGACTGTCTATTAGAAATGGCTGAAATAATTCCCAATTATTTATAGGTTATTGCCATGTTTTCAAGCTTGCATTCCCATATGCTCTGAACCTATTAAAACCATCGGGATGGAGTTTATAAAGAGCACAAGCACTCATATACCTACGTTGCTCTGTACCTGTCTTAATGAGAAGCAGGTATGTCCTGGTTGCAAGCTATGCTAAATCAGTATGCAATGCAGTTTTTTTTTTTTTTTTTAAGAAAGCTCTTTAAAAAGGTATGGTGTTAACCTTTCATGTGTGCTATTACAGCCCTATAACTATGTGCATTTAAACCCTTAGTTCCTTTGGCGCCAGGATTTGCTTTGTGCAACTCTTCAAAATTCCAGTTATGTTCCTTTGTGTACCTTTCTCAGGAACTAAGCCTATTAATGCTAACAATTAACCAGACAATTACTTTGCCACCATCCTTACCCAAAGCATAATTTCCTTTGAAAGTGTAACTCAGAATTGAATTGTGCATTTAAAGCATGTTTTGAGACAGAACCAAAATTCCCAAGTAGTTATAATATGTTGCCTCCTTGGGATGAGTGAAGTATACCACACAACAGAATGGTGGATAGCTGACCAATAGGTGAAAAGAAAGAGGAATGAGATAAATGTTATAGTATTGATATTCCATTTAACACATTTTTTTTCTGTTCTGTACAGTGATTGAGTATGCCCCATTTTGTACCAACTCCATCCCTTCTCTGAGAATGCTAGGATTTACAACAAAAATGCGTGCACTGCTGTGAATGAAAAAGCCCCAAAATAATTAGACCTCCAGGTCCTCCATCAATAGGTCGCCAAAGAAATGACTGATCATTTCAGTATTCTTCTTCATTTTTTTTTTTCTCTGTCCCACAGGGTGCCCTGACAATCTCACCGATTCCCAATGTTTAAATCCCATTAAGGCTTTCCAAGGCTGCATGAGGCTCATCTTTATTGATAACCAGCCCAAGGACCTCATTTCAGTTCAGCAAGGTTCCCTGGGGAATTTTAGTGATTTACACATTGATCTGTGTAGCATCAAAGACAGGTAATTATTGTCTCTTCTCTGTTCTCCCACCCCCTTCCCATTCTCACTGTTCTAAATATGAGTTTCTTTAAGCAAAATTCTAATCCACTGACATTAGCCATATTAGACATAATTGAGTTGCCTAATGGAAAATATTTCTGAAAGGATTTCAGGCCCAGAGAAAAATGGTTTAAATTAGTTGAGTCTCTCTTCATGTTGACTTACAGTAAATGGGATATGCAAATTAAATCAAAATACAAATTTGTGACAGGATTAAAATTTTATGCATAAACAACATTTGATTACTTTGAAGTTAAAAGTAAAGCATAAAGGAGGGAAGGATTACTTCTTTCTTAAACCATTTTATTCTCTACTGCAGTGAGCATCCTTTCTAATGGGGGCAAATGAGTGTCAGGCTCTCAGGGTCTAGAACAGAGGTTCAGATGGCACCAGAGTGCAGTGACTCCTGGGGCGGCTGAACTTTGTTGTTGCTACCCCTAACCCACTGCTTCTGTGGCCCAGAAGAGAAGAGGCCACAGACAGAGAGAATCAGCACTTATACTCTGCAACTCACAAATCTAGCAGAAGCTCGGTTTCTCTCTTTATTTCTTCTGGGCTCCAACTCCTCTTATAAAGTTTCTAGGTTCAAAGACATGCTGCTGAAAGTTAAAGAGGACTGATTCTGAATTTCCAGCCAGGTTTATCATGCTCTCCATGTTTTATCTCTAGCACTTACTTCCTTCATTCTCACAATTTTGCTCATCCCTGTCAAAATACCATTTATTAAATGGGTGAATAATATGTGTTAAGTACTTGCCTATGTGTTGGTGATACAGGGTCTCTGCTCATGTCTCATCAGGGAATAAATTAGCTGTTATGATAAAGTGCAATGAATGCCCAAGAAGTACACCCTTATTTGTGGGACACAGGGCAGCCATAACTCAGTCTGGCCCTAGGGAGAGTGAGGTCAAGAAGGTTTTTAGGAAGTGGTGCTGAGCTGGATCTTAAAGAACAAGCAAAACTTGTTCTCTGGATAAGTTCTCTGCATGCAGTGTCAGAAATGGCAGAGAAATAGGAGAAATCATGGCTGGCAAGTATTTCATCAATTCAAGATGCTGGTTTTTCATTTTAAAATCTCTAATATTGGGATGAATTTTATAATTGATGTATCATTGTTCAATCAGCAACATTTCTTTCTTAGTGGCATATAAAATAATGGTATGTCTTACAATGAAGACTGTCTTAGAGTCAATAAAATATAGCTCAGTGGAGATGGAAGGTCATTGTTGTGGAGTATGTGGTGTGAATATGGTTAGAGATGGGGTCCAGTAGCAACTATGAAGAAATTTGTGTGCCTGTGGGATGCGGCCTCATGTGCTAGGTGAGAATCAGGAAGGAAGGTATAAGACGTGCTTCCTAGAAAGAGTACTCAGGAAAAAGTAAGAAGGACGGATTAAAAGAGAACCAGCCCAGAGCTGGGAAGGTAACTGCCCCTGTCCAGGGGAGCAATGATGAGAAGTAGCAGGTGCCTCTCCTGAGCAGCACAGAAATCAGCTCTGCAGGTTGTAGTCTCCTCTGATGCTCGGAATGACCAATATAATTTGATGGAGCTTTATGTGCATGTTTTTCTGTTAATACCACTACACATGGGATCCTCAACAAATCACCCAGACTTCTTGGCTCTTCTACTTCATTTTTTTTTTCTATTTGACCAGCTGGAAAAGTGGGTAATAAAATGTGTGCTTCATTAGAATGTGCTAGCTTAGAGACTTCAGAATAAAAGATACTACACAGAATGGTTGCCACTCCTATAGTCTTTATTAACAACGAGGGGGAAGCATCCAACCTCATCAGCCAGCAGAGCCTTTTGCAAAGTGGAGTTCAATAGAGGGAACATTTATCAATAGGGATCTCTTATGATACCTTAATTTCTAATCAAGGATGCTCTCATTATTTTCGATTACGTGAAAGTCATTGCCATCTATACTGCATCATTACTTTTGTGTAATTGTAGTCCGTATAATTGTATTACATACAGTTGTGTTTTGGTTAATTGTATAATAAGGGATTGTGTTTAGTTTAGTGAGTAAATGGTACGGTTTTTCTTGATTTTCCAGACAGCGCCTCTAACAGAAGTGGATACTGTGGTAAAAGGCTTTGCTTGATTAATTGTTTCTTGAACTTGTATTTAACATTTGTTGGAGAGGGGCAGGAGTTAGAAAAGCAGGTGGGTTCTAAGTTGTGTGTTTTATTTTTAATGTGTTGGCCAATTGAAGTTGATTTAAGGGCAAATGCAAAGTCTTTGTCTAGAGGGAGCTTGCTACTTGGGGATAGGGTGGTGTGTGGTGGAAGAGGTTGGGGTGGAGAAGCCTGGCTCTGTGTGTGTGTGTGTGTGTGTGTTTTCTCCTGGCTGTGTTTTTTTCTTAATTGTGCTCCATCTGGAAAGTCCAAGAAGAACAGCCTTTCATCTGACCTAAGAGTCTCTTCTCTCCCAGACTCAATTCTCTGCCCCTTCCTCTTAGGCTATAGAGACCCAAGCCTCCTTCCTGGCCTCTCTGTGGTTGCCTGTCCCACCCCTCCGTCTCCCTCAGAGCGAGCTGACCTGGCTGGCCAGAGGGACCCTGCCCTCTTAGTGTCTTTTAAGGCTCTCAGTACCAGTCACTGTGGGAAAACCAAGGTAGTATTCACAGAAGAGGTGCAGACGTTCCAAAATTTGAAGAGCTTCCTCTAGTGGGGGTCCCTTAAGCAGGTTGCCTTTGAGATGGTGCCTCTGCTGCCCATCCTGAACAAATTCACAGACCAGCCATGAGACGATGCTGGTAACAGCTGGTAGGATCCCTTCTCAGGAATTAAGGAATCTAAACTAACAATTTGCATTTCAATGATGGGCAAATTACCAAGTCTTCTGGTCTCAGGGAAGAAAGGAAGTGGAGAAATTGGCCTGGCCCCCAGTTGGGCAGCAAAGAGGGCTGGCTTTAGGAGGCTCCATCTGTAGAACTGCCCAGTGCCTGGCAGTCCAAGGGTGAGTTAGGAGAAAGAGGTAGAGCACCCTTTTAGGAATCACATTTGGGACAAGACAGAGCATTCCTAGCAGATCCCACACACTTTCAATAGTCTTTCTAAACCTCTAAAATATGATGTTCATGTAATATCCCTCCTCTGTGGACTGAATCTTCAACCTCACATTTTCTACACCCTAGACCCCTGCACTTATCTCTTGCAACCCTCTTGGCAAGACATGATATTCTAAACTACATAGAACAAAGTCACCCTCAATAAATGCTTCATTCCATGAACAGCTTTATCATACCCTCAGGTACTCAAACCCATAGATAGGTATTGACTAAATGAGTTGGGCAGTCTTATGTATATACTTAGGTAGTGTAAGAGGTGGTAAGAGCAGCAGAAATCCTGGTAGTACATCGCTATCAGTGTCTCAATTTTTTTTAAAGAGGGTAAACTAAGACCTGGAGACATGTGTCATTTTTTCCACGGTCACAGGATTAAAGTTGTGGCTCAGAGTTGAACACCGTCAGGTTCTCTCCCTTATACTTCCACCCAAAAGGCACTGACCTGGAAATGGCAGGCATTGTGTGTCTGTGGCTCCTACACAAGCAACCCCATCTTCTATCTAACCACAGAAAAGTTTTTTAGGGATAATCAGTTAAATTCTTTGTAAACATTAGGTACCCTATGAGATTTCATTTAGAAGGGGGACACTCAAAGTGGTATGCAGGGTCAGGCAGGGTCTGAGTGAAGTAAGTCCTGGTGGTCCAGGTCAGGAAGTTCCTCTCCCCAGGATTTTTGTCGAAAGATCTACAAAGTCAGTTAGAGGAGCCATGCCCAGTCTTGCTGAGTCCAAAGTCCAGGGTAGGAGAAGCGTAACACCCAATGTTGTCTACAGATTTGATTGAGAGACTGGATCCAAGGTGTGAAGCCAAACTTAGAGGAGCAAACAGGGCCACTGTCTGAGGTGGGCGGGGGGGCAGGTGGAAGTCACACCTAGGAGAATTCATTAATCTCAGTGCAGGTGGCAGCAAATTTGAGAGGTGATAGAATGTGTTTAATTCCCAGTCTACTACTTATCAGTTTGAGATATGATACATATTATTTACCCTTTTTGTTTCTGTTTCTTCTTTTGCAAAACTAAGATCATAAAACCTACCTTTGCAATGAGAGTTAAATGAGACAGTGTGAGAAATCAGGTGCTCAGCTGCATGTCTAGCAAGCAGTAGCTACTCAGTACATGTTCTCCATGTTAATTCCCATAGCCAAAGGTTTGCTAGCTCTCTAGATTCCATGGGGAAAGGAGAAGGCTCAGGTCTCCCTCTGAAGTTCCTCCAGCTCACCATGGCCAAGAGATCCCTATAGCTTCTGGGGTGGATCCCCATAGATATACCTCATATGTGCCCTCAAGTCAGTGCCTTTGCACTTTGATTTCCACTTGTTCAGGGAAGCTGTTCCTCTGGGCCACCAACAACCACCCATTAGGAAAATGCCCATCAATTTGGGTGCCAGGGTTGCAGTCTTTGGTTCTCAGGGCCTGGATAGGATAAGGAAAGCATTGGTTCTCGGGGCCTGGGTAAGATAAGGAAAGTATGTGATTGATATGCCAAGGGCGCAGACTTTAAGGCAGTCCTTATTTCCTGGTTCATACACCTGTGGACCCTGAATTTACATAAACCTGGAAGTAAGTGTCTCATTAAATTTTGCAGACAAATTCCAGCATGTTTACATCAGAATGGCCAGGAGGACTTCTTAAAAGCCAAATTACTGGGCCCTACCCCTAGAGTTTCTGATTTTACTCTGGTGGGCCAGGGGATTTGCATTTCTAACAAATTCCGGGGTGCTGGTGGGCTGATCATGGGAGCAGACTTTGAGTTCTACTCCACTAAAACCTCTGATCCTGGAGGTCAAGGAATTGTATAGATTCTGTACAAAAGTGGTATAAGTGTGGGAGAGAGGGATGGCTTCTGCCCCCACTGGACCCCCAAGCAGCTGCCCTTCTGATCAGGATCTCA